TAGTAGGTTTTATATTATATAATTTGTTGTTTGGACAGCCGGTCAATTCTTTCTATTATTCTTCTTTGATAAATGTGTTAATGGTTGATCTTTGTTCAGTGTACGGAATCTTGGTGTTTGAACTATCTTTGGAGGGTGATGCTTTTTTGGCTGCCAAATCGATACTTTCGTTGTCCTTGATATCGATATGGATAGCTATCCAGCAGATGACATTATTATATTCTATTCTGTTTAAAGGTTTTATAATTAGTGGCTTTATAATTTTTGGTTTTTGAGTGACGTCCGTACTGACGGCTGAATAAATGATTTTTTTTTGCTTGTTTGATGCAAAGAGTCAAATCTTTGGGGGCCACTTCTGCGCCGAATATAGAGCTTTCATACGGTATTTTGATCCTATCAGCAGGTACATTTATCTTGATTGGGATTTCTATGCCGGTAGACATTAATTTTCTCTAAAAATAATGCTTATATTAATAAGAAATATTAATTTTTGCGTGGGTATAATTTCTAGAAACAGTGATATGTGTTTTTTATGTTGTAATTTGTTGAAGTTATGTTTTGGAATACAGTTTAATTTATTCAGAACTTTTAGAATATTATATGGATTAATGACATGAAAGAGTTTTTTCATGTTGGTTGTTTGGTTGGCTGATTTTATTTAGCGACATATCAAGACCTCTATGGGTTATTTAATGCCGAAATCCAAATATTTTGAACAAAGTGTAATGGTTTCAACTAAATATATTCTGAACGCAAATCCATGCATCAACTACAGATAAAATATATTGTTAGTCATTTTACTATAAAATGTATTGTTGGTCATTTTACTATAAAATATATTGTTGGTCATTTTACTATAAAATGTATTGTTGGTCATTTTACTATAAAATATATTGTTGGTCATTTTACTATAAAATGTATTGTTGGTCATTTTACTATAAAATATATTGTTGGTCATTTTGCTATAAAATGTATTGTTGGTCATTTTACTATAAAATATATTGTTGGTCTTTTTGCTATAAAATGTATTGTTGGTCATTTTACTATAAAATATATTGTTGGTCATTTTACTATAAAATGTATTGTTGGTCATTTTACTATAAAATGTATTGTTGGTCATTTTACTATGAAATGTAATTTTATACTTTTATAATCTTTTGTTTTTCTTTGTGGGGTTAACTATTTCCCCATAGATGGGGTCATAACAGGTGCTACCACCCCGGGTCAGGGTAGATCTGGGAATAGCAACAGTAAGAGGTGGTTCCGTGGCCGAGTGGTTATAGCGTTCGCATTATGACCATGAGACTCGAGTTCGAATCTCACCATGGTCGATTTGTCAGGAAGGAGACTTTCTGATGTTATCGGAATGGTCGATCCCAACTGAAAACCATACCACGGATTGACTCAAGCCTTGTGAGTGAAATTAGGTAGACGGAACACTTGGGGGCTGTCGATAGCTGTGCTAGCACGAAGTCATCGTGGCCGAGGGCTTGAGCGTGCTGGCATTTTTCAAATTGTTAGTCACGCTAGATAACAGGCTCTTTCTCAGAAACTGTAACTAAGGTCTGCTCAGCATAGTTGCAGTATAAACCACAAGTGGGCGTTGAATAAACACAAATGTGCCTGAGCAAGCGTCTGTAATAGGGATTGGCTAGCCCCCCTAATAAACAGGTATCATCGGATACGAGTAACCAAATATACATGCTCCTCAACACCTTCAGTGTCCCAATCAGAGGACTTTCTATAGGATGTAGTTAATCATTATACTCAGTACTATAATGTGTCCGGCTATCATCAAGTAAACCAACTTTTCAAAGTCATCCTCATCCTGATGTCAAGTTGACTCGAATTTGTATTTTCTGTTGTTCTTTTTTTTTTACTTAATGTTGACCTAATTCAAGGCCCAATAACCCCTCAAGGTAGAGGGTTACTAAATAAGTTTTTGTATAGACGTAGTATGAGAAAAGAAGGAAAGAAATGCAGATCAAGAGGACATGTGCAACAGGCATGTAACAGTTCACCCTAGACATAAAGAGTTTAAGATTATAGTGTCGTCTTTCCCAGTCATTCTAGCTGATCTTTCGTACACCTCGGGAGGAGCTGTTACCGCATCAAAAATCGATCATTGTTGAATCCTGCTACAACCTAGTGGGGATAAGTGTCCCAGTATTGATAAAGTCCCAAGTCCTTGACAAGTCTTTCGGTGGCAAAGTCTATATTTATATTTATTTGACTATATTTGCCAATTCTATAATCGTAGCAGTAATTCGCTTTGGGAACTGGGTGATGCTAGAAATGTTGATATTTTCACCATCGTATGTAATTTACTGTTGGTCATAGATTAAAACTGACATTGATTCCTGTAACGAATCAATACACTACCCCACACAACGCTGTATTCAACAGCTTCTTGCTATTCTTATTAATCCCTACCATTCGACCTGCCTTGTTTGTTTGGACTTGCCAACAATAATAATTATCAGTATGGCCCTTTGGGTTGCTGAGATGCGTACATCAAAGCGAGAATCACTAAACAGCAGACTGAATGATTTTTAATATCAAGAACTAATTTCATTTTCAATATTTACATTATTCGGACTATTGTCCTCATCTTTGTCGCCATATTTATCACAACGTTTCGGCCCTTCAGTATCTGTCTATATTTCCGAGATGAGGTATTATGTATACTATTTACATTATTCGGACTATTGTCATCATCTTTATTATTTTATATATTATGTATACGTTTATTTATTATAACAATTATAATATATAATATATATAACAATTATAATATATAATATATAATAATAATATATATAACAATATATATATATATATATATATATATATATATATATATATAAAAGTGAACATTGAAGTCATTTTAGAAATGACAGCCTGTTTCATGCTAGACGCAATCATCAGGCCACGATTGGGTCTAGCAACAAACAGACTGTCGCCTCTAAGTGTTGACTTCAATGTTCACTTTATATTTACACACGCTCTATCTCTGATATTGAGCACTTTATCCCATATATATATATATATATATATATATATATATATATATATATATGAACGATGATGAACTCTTATAATCAATTTAAAGGGGTTTTGATTTTGATATGTACGTTTATTGTGCATATGATTTCATTTGAAAATAATTTAATTAACGAACTTTAGAAATTTTCGCGGCGCATCTACGATTTTTTTTTTGTGGCACATCAGTGAAGTTCTGCGCACCGGTTGAAAATCACTGCTCTAGATATGTACACTCTTGTCCAAATTAATTAAAACAAAACGAACAATTCCGTTATTATTTACTTATTTTCGTATTTTTTCCATGAAACATGACCCAGTGCATATGTTAGTACCTCGTATGTCTATTCCACGAAGTTTTCCTTAGACTACAGATTTTCGATTGGATTTGAATCAGGTGAGTTTCCGAGACAGTCAATTTAAATCCAATCGAGAATCTGTGGTCAATCTCCAAGGAATTCGTGGAATGGACTTACGAAGTAGTAACGTGTGCAATGAGTCATGTTGGATTATTTGCTCTCTGTTAAGGCTTGCCATTGTGCTCATGCAGCGTTACAATTTTCGTACGTTTCCTTAAGCAACGTCCATTGCAGGACAGTGTAGGGCAACTAATCGACAGTCGAGATAATAATGTCTGGGCGTGATGAAAATCTGATGCAATCACGGATGATGATGCAATATTTTTCAAGGCCAAAATTTTCACCCCGAAAATAGATTCATACTACTGCACACCACTGCTAATAACCTAATCTGAGGAAACAAATAGAAATCGATTACACCCTGTCACTCCAGGTGGTCTAAAATGAGAGTATGGTGGAAGAAAGGAAACTAAAACGGTTGTTTCAATTAATTTGCACAAGGGTGTGGTACAAACAGCAGACTTGAAATGTATTTGACAAAAGTTATTGGAGGTGTACTATTTAAGGATTGGTTATTGAAGATATACTGTTTAAGGATTGGTTATTGGAGGTATACTCTTTAAGGATTGTTATTGAAGGTATACCGTTTAAGGATTGGTTATTAGAAGTATGCCGTTTCAGGATTGGTTATTGGAGGTATACTGTTTATGGATTGGTTATTGGAGGTATACCGTTTAAGGACTGGTTATTTAAGGTATACTGTTTAATGATTGGTTATTGGAGGTATACTCGTTAAGGATTGGTTATTGGAGGTATACTCTTTAAGGATTGGTTTTGAAGGTATATCGTTTAAGGAGTGACCATTGGAGTTATACCGTTTAAGGATTGGTTATTGGAGGTATACCGTTTAATTATTGGTTATTGGAGGCCTACCGTTTAAGCATTGGTTATTGGAGGCATACCGTTTAAGGGTTGGTTATTGGAGGCATACTGTCTGAGGATTGATTATTGGAGGTATACTGTTTCAGAATTGGTTATTGGAGGTATAGTGTTTAAGGATTGGTTATTGAAGTTATACTGGTTAAGGATTGGTAGGTATACCGTTTAAGGATTAATTATTTGAGGTATACCGTTTAAGGATTGGTTATTGGATGTATACTGTTCCAAAACGACTGGCAAGACAGCCTTGCATACTAATTTGTAATGAGTTCGATTCAACAGATTAGAATCGATTTTTACAAATCCATCTTCAAGAATTGGGTAGTCTTTATCCTTAACGGCTTGAAAACGTTAATAGAATTTTTAGTGAGTATTCGTCAATGATCAGCAGCTTTCGTTATGTTTGTGTGATAAAGAGCAAAGGACTGAAGAAACTATTTGAATAATCTTACATAGTTAATTAATTGGTATGAATAGACCTTAAAGAATTAAAAATGAAGTTAAAAAAAGAAAGCAAATAAGAAAAATATATTATAGTATTAGAAAAAGGAGGAAGAAAAAGAGGAAGTAAACAAAAATGTATGATAACGAAAGGAAATACTCATATTAAGATAGAGATAAACCTGGGTGATCGATAATGAATGATAAGTAGTGACACACCTAAGAAAAGAAATCTATGCTGGAGAGAGAAAAAGAAACAAGGAGAGAGAAAGAGAAAATGCCGAAAAGAAAGAAGTGATTGAAAAAATATCTAAATAATAAAAATATATAAAGTGAAAATAGAAATATATCATAGGAATATCTAGATAGATAGAAGAAAATATATTATAAAATATACAACGTGAAATAAGAAACATATAATAAAAAATATAGAAAGTCAAAATAAAAAATTATAATACGAATATAGAAAGTGAAAGTAGAAATATATAACAAAATATATAAAGTGAAAGTAGAAATATATAATAAAAAATTGTAAGTCAATGTAGAAATATATAATAAAAATATAAGAAGTTAAAGTAGAAAAATATAATAAATATGGAAAGTGAAAGTAGAAATATAAAATAAAAATTACAGAAACTGAAAGTAGAATGATCTAATAAAAATAGAACGAGAGTAATTGAAGGGTGGGGAAAAGAAAAGTGACAAGAACGAGAAAAGAAGAAATATACAATAAAAAGAAAGAGAAGAGAGAAGGATGAAACTGAATGGAAAGTTAAAAAGATTACAGAGTGAAGACGGGGAGAGAGCAGAGAGAGACAGAGAGAGAGAGAGAGAGAAAATTAGGCTACACATGAGAAGTGGCAAGAGGAAACAAGGAATATACATTAAAGATAGAGGAGGAGAGAAAGTGAGAGAATGATGTAAGAAATCAATATTTGCAAGTGTCTGCAAAACGGCTACATAATATTATCGATAAAGAACCAGGCGTCCACAAAATAAATGACCTTCTTTGCTTACCTCACGACATTCACTAGTTCTACGAAACTCACCATTGTCTCTACCTACCCTGATAATGACTTAAGAAAGTTGAAAGTTTTTATGTGGTTTTTGTACTTTTCTTCTGACGGAATATTTCCCCCTTGACTGAGAAGTTTTGTTCGTAATTTTGAAAAGATCAATAAACTTAATCGACACAAAATGTCTGCTGTTTTTAATATTTGCCTTAAAGAACATTTACTGCCTAAATACTCCGAAGACACACACACACACACACACACACACACACACACACACACACACACACACACACATATATATATATATATATATATATATATTGTGGGGGGGAGGGGATGGTCATACTATTCACCACTGCATGGTAACTGTCATTTTCACGTTTAAAGCCAATACGCGTATTACTCCTCTTTATGTAGGTCATATTTATAGACCGTTTGATGCCTATGTAAAATGGGAAAAAGAAGAAACCGGTATTTTCCCATATTTTTGTTTAAGGTATAGTTTTTGTTTTAAATGATTTAGAGTCCTAACATTTAATTTGTCAGTTTCATTAAATTTAATTAATCAAATTTAATTATTTTATTAAATTAGTTACCTAATTTTATAGATCTATTTTCCTGTATATTTTTCGTTTCTGAAGCTTGGTATTTCAAGTATTATGTAGGTTATGTTATTATGCATTGTTATTATGTAGGTTATGTTATTATGTATTTTTGCCATGTAGGTTATGTTATTATGCATTGTTATTATGTAGGTTATATTATTATGTATTTTTGTTATGTAGGTTATATTATTATGCATTGTTATTATGTAGTTTATGTTATGTATTTTGTTATGTAGGTTATGTTATTATGCATTGTTATCATGTAGGTTATGTTATTATGCATTTTGTTATGGAAGTTATGTTATTATGCATTATTATTATGTAGGTTATGTTATTATGTATTTTTGTTATGTAGGTTATATTATTATGCATTGTTATTATGTAGGTTATGTTATCATGTATTGTTATTATGTAGCTATGTTATTATGCATTGTCATTATGTAGATTATATATTTTTTATTATGTAGGTTATGTTTATACATTCTTTTTATAGATACAAATATTTAAGTAAATGCTCTGTTTATAATAAACAGTATTAAACAACATTTACCAGCCTTAATGTCCGAGAAATTTTCACAGAAAATAGTCGTCCTCCGACAGGATTCGAACCTCTATCTTATACGGAACCGTCATTTAGCTTGACGTGCCTTTAACCGATTTGGCCACAGAGGAGCGTTCGGTTAGCAAGGTCGAATTTACTGTCTTTAAACTTCAATCTTCCATATGTAGGTTTTGTTATTATGCATTGTTATTATGTAGGTTATGTTATTATGTATTTTTATTATGTAGGTTATGCATTACATTCCATTGACTCTTCATTCCGCCCTGAGAGGATCAAAATTTTCCAAGCTCTCTTTCCTCATGTACCCGATAAATTTCAACTAACTCTTTCTGATGTTAAGTATAAGCGACCTTTTGGTTTCCATTTTTCTAATAAAACTTCGAGGTTGTTCATATGTATGGTCCAGGTTATTCACGGCATCATTCTGTAGAACCACAATTCTGTTGTTTCAAGTCTAGTTCATCTGCGAGGAGATTTTTCAGTATTCACTGCCATTACATAACAGTTCAATACACTTTTCGTTTTTAAAGAAATTTTCTAGTTTTTTAAATAGTTTCCTTAGTTTTTGAAAAGCATAATAGTGAGAATGTGATATCCAAAAAGATGCTAAATTTAATCCTGATATTAAAATAATCGACAGAAGGGCAGGATAAGAAACAAAGAAGATGGAGTTGTCTTCAATCGTCTGTGCAATTTGCGTGTTAACCATTACTCCAAGATGAATAAAGTATTAGTATTTATTTAATTATTGCTGTTGCAAAATGATTGAAAAAAACATATTTGGTACATTCTTGGGAAATTTTGAGATCGAAAATGGTTCCTTTCTTGGGAAATCGAATATGGATGGACCAATCAGATTTATATTTGAATAAATAGACCAATCAGAATAAAGGAAGTTACGTCTTTACCAAAAGCGCTATCATATTTACTGAGATGAACCAATCAGAATGCAGGAAAAAGATATTTAATAAAATCGCTACCAATGCGCCTTCAGATTTCAGTGTGGCACTTTCGGTCCTCTGTTAAAACACTACCCAAATATTTAAACAATTGCAACTGTTTGATTTTGGTATCTCCATTTTGTATTTTGCATGTTGGTCTGTTCCCTTTTGCTAACAACTATGAATTCTGTCTTCTTGCAATTGATGTTTAGTCCGTTTTCCTCTCTTTCCTTTACTGCATTCTGTACGAGATATTGTAGTTTCACTTTCTGTGTCTGCAATCAACACTGTGTCATCTGCGTGTCTTATGTTATTGAGATTGAGGTAAGACTTCTAATTCTCCAAGAATCGCTTCACAGTATAGGTTCTGTAAGTCCGGTGAGTAGGCACACCTTTGTCTTAGACGCTTTTTTTATTTTTGTATGTTCATTTTCTATCCGTATGCAGTCATTTTGCAATAAGTAAAGATTCTGGATTATTCAAATACCCTTCCTTGCAGTTGTAAAATAATCTACCTTACTGAGTTGAGAGGGAAGAGTCTCTCTTAGGCATCGAATACACGAATTTAAGGTTCACGTTTTGGATGAGGAGCCTGGATCCGCCATTACACATTGATAACGAATAATTGAGGGAGTCAGGACCTTGCCAAAAGGTAACGGTAACTACAAGAGATTTCAGCCTTGCATTATCGTTGGTTTCCAGCTCTATATTATTAAACAGGGTCGACTCCTGCCAGAAAGCATATTTTAAGACTCTGGAATGCACAGGCCGGTATCAGCTAAATATAAGGTTTAAAGTAATAAACAAATGTCGGTTTATAAATAAAATCCGTTAACTCTTTAGAACATTGCTTTGTTTACGTTTCGGGTAAGAAAATGTGCAGATATAGGCTTTGAAAGTTCTGAACGAGAGATCCGAATAAAAGATGTGAATTTCTTAAAAAGTCTGTGAAAGTCTTTCGGTTTCATCAACAAAGGCCACACAGGTTCGAACCCTGCCCAAATGTACAATTTGTTTATCAAGGCTATCGAATTTACAAGCTGTTAGACGTAAGCTTAATCTGTTTAAGAGCCGGCAAGTCTGTTCAATATCAAATAAAACGTTTATATAAAACGTTTATAAATATATTTCTGTGAACATCATAAAACGGCGCAATTATTTATTTCGTCTCCTCTTTCAGGCTGTTCACAATCTTTTGTCTTCATGCACAAAATTGAATCATTTCAAACTTCTCGAAAACTGCTACTTTATAGATCAGACTCCCGAGAGGATGCTTTCCCCATCACACCGAACCTTTTCAAGTCTAGGGTCGACCTTTATCATTCAGTAAACCACCACTTTGAGTGGTTTTTGAGACTTGTATGTAATTACAAAAAATGGCGACATCATCTTTTCGTTCTTCAGAAGAAAAAAATAGGGGTACTGCTTTGACTTGTTATCTACAAGGGAAAATATCTACACCGTACATATTTTATTTTGGAGTTATATCTACAGAGTAAAACATTATAGCATATATATAACATAAAGAAAATGTAATTAAAATATTTTAAAAAATTCTTTTATTTATATTCTATCGATAAACAGCATGTAGATCGACTAAAATGTCTACACTGTACAAATTTTTATTGTGGAATGATATCTACAAAGTAAAACATAGAGCTACTTTGGCTTGTTATCTACAATCAAAACATAGGTAGACAAAATAGTAAATGTTTTACTATGTAGATATCATTCCAGAATAAACGGTGTAGACTTTTCTTCCATACCTTGTAGATAAGAAGCCAAAGTAGATATTTCTTCCTTGTAGATAACAAGCCAAATTAGATTTCTCCCTTATAGATATCAAGGCATAGTATTCTCCCTTGTAGATAAGAAGGCAAATTAGATTTCTCCCTTGTAGATATCAAGGCATAATAGATTTATTCCTTGTAGATAAGTCAAACTTGATTTCTCCCTTATAGATATCTAGGCAATGTAGATATTTCACCCTTGTAGATAACAAGCCAAATTAGATTTCTCCCTTGTAGATAACAACCAAATTAGATTTCTCCCTTGTAGATATCAAAGCATAGTATTCTCCCTTGTAGATAACAAGCCAAATTAGATTTCTCTCTTATAGCTAGGCAATGTAGATATTACACCCTTGTAGATAACAAGCCAAATTAGATTTCTCCATTGTAGATATCAATGCATAGTATTCTCCCTTGTAGATACCAAGCCAAATTAGATTTCTCCCTTATAGATATTTAGGCAAAGTAGATATTTCTCCCTTGTTGATAACAAGCCAAATTAGATTTCTCCCTATATCTATATCAAGGCTTAGTACTCCCTTGTAGATAACAAGCCAAAGTAGATTTCTCCCTTGTAGATATCAAGGCATAGTAATTTCTCTCTTGTAGATAATAAGCCAAATTAGATTTCTCGCTTGTAGATAACAAGCCAAATTAGATTTTTCCATTGTAGATAGTTATAGTATATTCCTCCTTTGTAGATAACAAGCCAAAGTGCATCAAAATAGGTTACTTCTTAAATTTGAAAATAAATACGCCGCTTTAACGTTTAATATTAAAATAAATTTTTCATTTGTCTCTCTCTCTCTCTAACAATACAACGAATAGTCCATGTAAATTCAACAAAGGTCATCGTAATAAAAGTATATTTAATAATGGCGTGAAATGAGCGAGATCGAATACATCATGTATTGCTTGCTTTCATTTCTAAGCCATAGAAGAGATAAATTTTACGCACAGGACACAAACTCTCTGTTTGAGTTTACAGTTGCTAGGCGACCATGAAATCTTACCATCTATTTCCGGTCCTTAATCGATCGAA